GGGACAGATGCCTCTAAATATCTAACCAAGAACCTAAATAAATTTCAAAACTAAGAAGAACTTGAATGTGGAATTTCATAATAACTGTTGCATTATTAGATTTTTTTCTATTTTATTTTGACATTTAATTATCTTTTCAAATCTGGATATATAAAACCTACATTGATTTCAAGACAAATGTCTGCATTACACTCACATTTATTTCTAACTGTTTTTTGAAGATTTTACTGATTTTTATTTTGTTATGCATTTTCTTTAGTTTTTCACACAAATGTAAGGGTATTAGTAATAATACAATGAAAAAGAGCTCAAGCTAGAGTACTCTTTAATTACTGTTGATGCTTCCACACATACAAATGTGCTCCATGTGGAGCCAAAAACCACTTCAAATCAACCTTAAATGTATTGTAATCATATTAATACTTATTGTTACATAATTATAGTCACTAACATTTCTGGCCTGCCTCCTCTGAGGGAATGTTCTAAATGCTTTACATGTATTAACTACTTAAATTTTCACAGCAACTGTATGAGGTAGGTATCACTATCACCTTTATTTTACTGACCAAAAGAGTGAAAAGCAGAAGTTACATGACTCTGCCAGTATCGCATAGCTAGAAAATCGCAGAGCTGGGATCCAAATCCAGGCAGTGGAACTTCACAGTATAATGTCTTAATTATCACACTACCACCTCTTCCATATGACAATGCACACAGTAATTACATATATAAGTCTTGTTATTAATTAGGGGAAAAATCGAGTTTCATACAGAAGTATTTAGGCACGAAATGTCATTTCTCTAATTTATCTTTAAATACTTGAGCAAATAATGATAAAACAATTATGGAGACTCATTTTACTGTTCTCTTTTTTGTATATTTAAAATACATTTCCTGATAAAAAGCCAAAAATGAATCTTACGTTGAAACATCATACCATTAATGCTGTACTTTCTCTAGAAATGAAATTCAACAACTTATTTATTCGAACTAAATGTAGAATTAGACATTAGACATAAAACTTCAGTTTGATGGAGTAATACAGTAAGATTGACTTCATGTTTCACAGAGATTCACAAGAACTTAGCTTATCTGATCTCTCCAGACTTGGAACCAAAACTCTTGATCCTTATATTACTTGTACTAATTGCAAACAAATATTCCAACTCTGCTACTTATTCCCAACTTGATTCACTTTTAGACCTAGGGGGAACCACCTTGTCTGTCCGACTTTCCTCTTACTCCTCATGACTGTTTCAGGGGCTAATGAGAGGAAGGTGCAGATGAGGGAAGATGAGGACACAAGGTCCACTGGCACTTCCATCTTCTGCAGGCTGCCCCGTTCCATGAACAAAAGGAAACAGACGTCGGTGTTAATAATGAACTCAAATACAGTCCATAGTCAAAGCCAGTCCCGCCATTCCCCTCTTAATTTTGTTTCCACCCAATCTTGAAACAGAACAAACATTTTCATTTTCACCACGCGTAAAAAGAGTTTCCTGTTTATTTGCAAAGATAGCACCACCTCAGAAAGTGAACAAATCTTCACAAATGCTATGTAAGTAACAGGGATGCTGAAATACAAACATCTGCCCAAACTAGCAAACATTATCTCAACAATTACTCTAAATCATTAAAGAGAGAAACTGACTAAGACTGTTACCTCAAGATGCTAAAAAAATTAAGAGAAGACTATCCCTGCATAGAAATACTATAGTGTAAGGTATTAATTATACCATGAAAGCCACAAATGTGTGACAAGTTATTTAGAGCACCCAGAGGAAGGAAATACCATTCGCTACCTAGAAAAAAAAACAAGAGGAGGTAGTATTTGAGTTAGTTTTTAAAGAATACTTAGCAATATGACTGCAAAAATTGTAGGCTGTCATAGTCAGGTAATTAGATGCGAGACTACGTTAATTAACATTAACGAGCACAAGGGATGAGAATGATTGTCATGAATTTTTCAGGATGGCTATGTACATTATACCCTCCCTGAGAATAGTGGCCTATCAAGTACTTTAGCCCCATGTGACTTGCATTTTTAAGTTTCAAGGCAAAAATTTGTTTAAATGAGTATAGTCATAATTTTTAAAACATATTACATAACCTAAGGGACAATAATTTTACCGTTATATTCAGCCACCTCTTCAGCTAAATCTGGCTGTCACTAAGTATTCATTTTTATACCCAGAAGGTGAATAGAAATAGCACTGATCTAAGTAGAGTAGCACAGATACTATAAAATGCCCCTGAGGAACTGTCTTATATCAAAGTCCTTGAAAAACTTACAGCCTGACCGCTCCGCACAAACTGACTAATTCAGATGTAGCTAATAGAAAGTTACACTGCAAAGAAATAACTGATCGCCTTTAAATGCTTGTTTTACCTTTAAGTGAGGCCATGTATCATCATTATAATGAACAAAATCAATAGATTACGCTTGAATATACCATTCTTTATATTCAAATCATTCTTTATATTCAAATTCTCACCCTTGCTCTTTCCTTCCCTTAAATGTTGGTGTGCTGAGGATTCTATCCTGTACAATCTTAAGGCATTTTTATTTTTATTTTTTATGTGTGTAGATGTGTGAAGCAGGCAGAGTAGGACAATAAAGAGCAGAGGAATTATGGTGAGCTGGAGAATGTGTCACATCCAAAGGCCATCAATTTCACTCTGTTTTTGTGTCAGCACACCACAATAAACCTGTAGCTGAATCTGGCCCTTTCTATTTATACGGTATCGCCCTTGCTGGGGAAATTTCAGCCCTTTGTTTTCAAAGTCTACTCATAAGTTAAACATAAAACTATTCTAGGCCTCAGGGAACTTATACTTCAGGGAAGGACCCAAGGAAATAACTATAAAGACTTGGGGAGGAGGTGGAAGTGCCACCAAGAAGAAGAAAATGCCATTTCATTACAAAATCATATTGGCTTAGGAAAGAATTAGTCAAGTTCCTTAGAATTATGAATACAATATTCAGGAATATTTATCTATTGATAATGTACAATATTATGAAAGCTATATAAAAATTTAGAAGCACAAAATAAGGGACCATCTCGATAGCATTCAAAAAACTATTTGAGAACAATATCTAAACTCAGATGACTGTCAGGCAATGGAAAGAAAATGACTGATGTAAGAGAATTGGGAAATAGAGAAATAACCAATACTCCATTAGGCATAGGCCTTGGAAAACAAAATAAACTCCTACTAATGCAGAACTGGAGAAAAAGTTAAAAATGATACCCACAGGCTCAGTACTTACAACCTGTTAGCTTCCCTCAGTCGGCATTAACATCTAAAACAAAATATGTATTTAGTGCTCAGATATTCACATCCCCTTTCAAACATGAGGATAAATTTATTAATTGATTAATATTATTTCAATATTTAGTGCTCCAATTAGTTCCCTTTTGTTCATTAGACATTAGATGCTGGTGTAAAAGATGATAAACTCACATTATATAATCTCCAATCACCAATTTTTAGTAATGGATATGGCTTTGTGGAATCTGAGCAATGAAAATACACAACTATATTGGCACACAAAAAAGTACAGCAAAGAACAGTGATAGTAAGCCAATTCAAATCAAAACAAGATGGCATTTGATATATGAAATATCAAGTACTACATGTATAAAGTTGGACTACAGTAACCACTTAAATCCAGCTCTATATTGCAAAACTTTTGGTAAGGATGAATACATTTTACATTCATCTCATAAGCAACATTTTTCAAAAAAAGGTGTAAACAGTAAAAATCCTAAAGTGAATATCAAAGTGCAACACTGACTTACATTTCTTAACTTTATTTCACTCTAAGGTGGTAAATATTTCTATTGCAGAAGAAAATTTCTTCGTAGTGATCAAAACACATGCATTGAGGATGACTGAAAAAAATACTCAGTACAGCACGTAATTTTATAATCATTTTAGTATAAAAGAGAATTTTTTTCCTCACTTCTAAGTTTAAAAATTTGGCTATATTTAATTGATAGAAGTCACTCATTTGAGTGGGTAGAGTTTGGGCATTCACTTTAACGTGTCAAAAAGAGCAAACTGAAGATCCCTGCAGAAATTGCTAATTCACTCTCAACAAGTACTCTTCCTAGTCTCATCTCAGTAACGGAATACCGTATTTTACTTGGATGCATGCCTACCCAGGGGGAAAGAAAGTTATATTCCACATTTTCTTACATCTAGGCAAGACTAGTCACTAAGCTGTGGACAATGGGTGCAGACAGAAGTGATGTGTGCAATTTCCAGAACATGCTCTTAAAGGCACTGAGTATGTCCTTCAGTGCCATCTGCCTCCTTCCTGATGTCTAGAATGGGAAATTCACTGTGGGCACTGGAGCATCCCTCTTGGACCACACATGCAAAGGGTATACTGAAGAGAGCAAAAAACAGGACAGGAGGACCCTGGGGCCTGGATGACTGAGAGTTGCCATATTAGGCCTTGTACATAGAATGTTACATGGGAGACAAATAACCTTTTGTCTTGTTTTAGTGCTTTTACTTTAGGTCTCTCTGTGACAGCCCAATCAATATACTAATCATAAAACATGGTTCATTTTTATTCAACATCTAAGGGTTTACAAGAGCAATGGTATTAGTACATCTAAAGCACTTTGAATTTTTCCAATAAAAAGTTTTCACAGTGTAAATGTATTATCTTACAGTTCTTTGCAGATTCTCAAAACTTTTACAAGAATCAGACCAACTCCAGCAAACTTGAGTGCGTTAGCAGATTCCAAGAATATGCAGAGTTAAAACAAAATATGTGAATCACCTAGTCACCTGTAGCGTGTCTTAGACAAGAGAAAAATAGTTTGAACTTAATAGGTTTTAATGCCCTGTGGGCGACGACAATTTTAGGGCTGAACTGAAGCATGAATCCAACTAAATCTGCTAGGTCAGCTTGTTTGTAAAGCCAATCACCCTAGTATAACTAAGTTTACCCTGAAATTTAATATAAAACTTTTAATACTCACATCGAGATCATCCTTAGCATTATAGTAGACAACTTCGTTGCTCTATAAAAAAAAGAAAAGACAAATGCTTTATTGATTTGATTAAAAACATAAAAATATACTGGATCAAACGCTGAATACATTTTATTCATATTTTAAATAATAAACCCCTCATAGTATTCCTTTTACAATATATTCCACAAAGATCCATCAAGATTAGTCAATATTTTCTAAGAACATATTAAAACACTATATCAGTGATAGCCAAAAAGCACACCGTGCATTGAGGGAAAATACCTCAGTACAACTTTGAGAACAATTTCTCAAGAAAAAAATCTAAAACTTCATAATGCAAATAAGTTTTACATATACACACACACACACACCCCAAACCCACATACACCCCCCTACACCATGAAATGACAAATATGATAATTCAAGAAAAATGTGTAAGTGGCTTGTTAATACTTTGCTGAAACCATGACTTCTAAAAAATATATATTGAGTGTTGAAATTATCCTTGAAAGGTCTATCTGCATGATACCAGCAGTAATTCCTTGATGAGATTCAGATAAAGGATTAAGAGTGTGAATTTAGATAGCAAAAAATACCAGCTAATCCAACACTCTAATGTTCTCATATTCTACCCAAGTGGCAAATAATTGTCAGCTCTTTAAGAATAAACGTGTGCTGAGATTTCTGCTAGCCATCAATGCTGTTGAAATATGACATAAATATAAACTATGGACACCACTGTGTTATAGAGGGGAAATGAGAAAGAACAAATAAAACAACTGTCAATGAATTTTAAACTCCTATTCTTTTTGTCTACCAGGCTGGTTCCATGCAGTATGAAAACAATCTACTTATACTGATTTCTTTTTCCTTTCTTCTCGTCCTGAACTGATCGAAGATATGCATAGTCCATCTTCTAGATACCTTTAGTAGTAACTTGAGCACTAGGCAGAAGTGTACTTCTCTGTGTTTCTTAAACATTTACAGACATGGACTTTTATTAAAAGGAAACAATTTACAAAAATTTTTTAAAAGTATTTGGGAAAAACAGACTAAATTAGTGCTGATTAAAGTATGTTTCAAAGAAAATCACTAGTTCTTCAAGATATAATAGATGCTATATAGGCAAAAGTAATCTATGGTTGTGATTTCAGAATAAACAATACATTTTAAAACTGTCTCTGAACAGTAGGACTTGACATGGCCTTAGTGTATGAGCGTACATTATAAATCCTCAAGAGAAAAATGAGATCTTGTTTTGTTTCCAAGACTTCTTGCCACTGATTCTACCTTCCTTTTTTGACTTGAGAAACATTCTGTGATAATGAAGATCTATAAAACAGAGGTCTCTCTGAAGATCACATAACCAAACCAAAACCTACATAGATAAATACAAGACCATATGATTCATAATATTGAGTGAAACCCTTGAGTTTCAGTTTCTCATTTAGAATCATTAGAACTGTTTAAATTACTATTTAATTGATTTTTTTTAAAAAAGAACTATGTAGCTAGACAATTTCCACATACATAAAATTCTAATTCCTGAAACATTACTTACAGCATTAGTTTTGGAACAAATTAAATTACAAAATCAGAACTTATCACATACACAAAGCAAGAGACTCTTCTGAATTCTCCTGAGACCCAAATCCAATTACTAGTTTATTGATCCCCCATGGAACCCTGTTAATTTATACTTAGGAGACAATTTTCAATTTAGAAGGTGGATTCCACCAAAAGCTAAAACATTGAAAAAGTTTACCTTCATTTTAAATATTATGTCTGCCAACTGAGTGCTTATATTTACAGAATGGAAACATGTGAAAAACAAGGTGAAACTACATTAAATTTCAAGCGGTTCAGCAGCATCATTTTCAAATTCATTCAATACCTAGATACAAATACTGCTGTGCCAACAGAGACACAAAATAAGTTAAACGTATCTACCCTTATCCTTTAGGTAAAATAACACACACAGATCAACTACATAAAACAACTTATGTGGGATTACACTTGGTCCATGGTGCTAGATCTAATGGACTAAACTGATTAGTCGACTTTTTTCTTATGTGCAACATATTTACAAATAAACATTAACAAATAAAGATAATTTATTAAACCTAAGATGAAGAGTATCATATACAACATCAGAAGAGGGTAAAGTATGATAAAGAAACGTTAGTTTTAACTAAGTATTTTGATTGTATTAAGATACACTGTCCTTCCACTCAAAATAAAAGTTAAAATGGAGATCTCAGGTTATTTTAGAATTTCCAAATTTTTTTCCTTTGTTACATTATATATGAAACCCTATTACTTGCGTCTTCTTTTAGAAGCTCTACATTCCTTCTAAAACTGTTATTAAAAATGTGTATTGCTAGGCTTATTTAAGTTTTATGCCTTTACACAAAATTTTCTGCACTTTAGAAGACACGTAATTCCTCAAACTGGCTTTTTTTTTAAGAAGCTAATTGAAAAAAAATACATTGGTCATAAAATAATATCACATGCTAAATGTTGATACTCATTTTATATTCTTGCTTTTAAAAAAGCTCTTTCTTTACACAATGTGCATTTCTTACATGGTCAAAATATAAATGCAAAGGAAAACAAAAGTGTAACTCTTTATAGAAAAACAGCATAACTAGGAAGCACATAATCAAATACGTGTGCTTAGATAGGTTGTCATATTCTACTAAGAGAACACAGACCTTCGTGGTATGTGAAACTGATTATATCCACTGTCTTAAAACAAAATTCCTTCTCCAATCAATGTGACGTTGCTTTTGGCTCAGAAGCTTTTTTTCAACCTCACTTTGCAGTGACAGCACGCACATTTCATTATTCCCTTTTTTTACCCAACAAAAAAGCTCAAATGATCAATTTTAGTAAAGATAAATCTCTGTAGGGCATCAGGATTGGGGAAGGTGTAACTGTGCATTTAATCTGTCAACCCAGTCCACATACATGGCAGTGTGACACTAAAATAAATGGCAAATACTCACAGAACATTTAATTTGTATAATCATATAAAAATATTTTTGTTCATCATCGTTTCTTAGGGAAAATTGCAGTGATTTGCTTTACTGTGGCTTCTGTTTATATAGTTTCAGAATTACTTGGTTCAGAAATAATTTTAAACGTAAGCTTGAGACAAATAATTTGGTGGTCATAATTCTTTCCTATCATATTCCCTTATAAGCCATCTTCTCTGCTTTATACAAATATATATTAGCCCTGCTATAATTTATTCAGATGTGTGCAGCTATGTTAAACGAAAGCAGTCTGAAATAAAATCACTCATATCACTGAGTCATCAACATACACCAGAAACAATCTTAAGAGGACTGGGTTAAAGGACAATTCTCAGGAGTAAAGGACAACTGACACTGAATTAGCTCAACTTCCATGTTCCATGTTTTTATAGGGATGAATTTTGGTTAAAATTAACTCTGTGCTAAAAGAAAATTATGAGAGGAAATTGTATAAAAGCAACTCGATGGTCTGAAGGGGCAGAGTTAGAGAAGAGGCAAAAGTATCAGCTGAATTCCTTCTCCTCATCCCACCTAGACTTTGTCCAGGGAGATTTTGAGGTCTCACAACCAACAGAGGGAGCCACACCCCATTCATTCAACAGTACTCTGGGACCTCACTCTGGGCCAAGTTTTGGAGAAACAAAGATGAGGACAATCTACACTCTGACCTAAGAGGCAAGTTCTTGTCCTCCTGATTCCCACGTTGACAAGGTGTTGGGCAGCTGGATCAGTTGTTTCAACCCGCTAAAACTGAAGAGTATCTTAATATCCTTGACTGGTATGACCACATAAACCAAAATGTTCTCAGGTTTCAAAATAGGTGAGAGTTACGAATTTCAGATATTTGACATATTCCTCTGTTGATCAATTCAAGCATATGTATTTGCAAGTGTGTGTGTGTCTTTCTGAATCATTTATCTGCCGTATCACTCAAAATTCCCTCAGTCCCTTCTCTAGAAATTACACAGTTCTATCAGTATTATTGAAGACTTCAAAACTATACACATAAACTAATTATCACAGGCACAGGCACAGATTAGAGAATCGAGTCCTCTTGCTTCCCTTTTATCCTTCTGGCTAAACATTTTAATGCAAATTATTAAACAAAACCATCTTGGAAGGTATTTCACACCAAACACAGAGGTTTTCAGTGCATTACGAGTAGTGTGATAGGACGAAGCTAGCAATACCCTCAAACTAGATTCAGAGATTAGTTGAACCTTTAGAGTGCTATTTTTCACAATTTAAGCACCACCAGATGACAAGAACAAATTGTTTCATTTCTGATTTTTAACCAAGTAGTTTAGTTATTTATTATCTCCTGGAAATAAATTTACCCAAATGGTTCACGCTAATATAATACCGCCCTTTACTGAAATTTAAACCATCCTGCACCAAGTTGAGAGATAAATGACTTTAGTTTCCCAGTGTCTACTGGGAGTCAAAAATTAAATCTGGACAAAATAGAGCATTCCATCTTAAAAATGTATATTGTGAGTGACAGTCCCTTGAATGCCACTTTCCTATAAACGTGGCCTCTGATGAATAGTTTATGTTAAAAATCTGAAGCTGAAGAACAAAGCTTCAACATGGGAGTAGGATGTTGCCAAGGAGAAGATTTAAATATTGGAACTGAAAATGAGGTTTTCAGAGCCAGTATCTGAAATATGTGATACATTCAAAATTCAAATATATCTTAACTTCCTGTCTGATTTACTAATTCTTTTTTCTTGGTTACACACTTACTCTGCATCTGATCGACAGTCTGATGATTCTGGGGCAACTCTATTGTCTGCTGAAGTCACTTTTTAAAAAAGTCTGATTCTTAGTGTCATTTTATCGCTCTTTATTTCCAAATATGAAGTCAATAGGATGAACATTAAGGATACTCTTTGTTATAAACAAATTGTGTGAATGATGCCTGCCAACCAATATCCACAGTTTAGCTCAAATCCTTTAACTCAAATACTGGGATTCATATATTGTTGTAACAATTTGACCTGGTAACCA